ATCTCAGATATATTATAAATATATTACAAGTATCTATTAATTTATAGTACAAATTACTATTATTGTAAATATGTTACAAAAATACATATATAATAAAAAATAATTTATTAGCTCAAAAAATTTTTCATTTTCATGAAAATGAATTATTTATGATAGCAAGCAAAACTTCGTATGATCTTATCATATACTTATGCATTATCCTATATGAAATTTTTGATTATTTTCTATGTGCTTGACAAATGTGAAATACTTTTACTGATATCTGATAGAAGTGAGAATAATTTGATTGTATATTTTATGATAAAATATTTAAGGAACTTAATGAAAAGAAGAATAGTGAAAAAAATAATTAGTGCAGTACTAAGATGCAGTACTTAAATGTGTTCAGGGTTCGAATTTTAAGAAAAATTATAAGTTATATATTATAGTCATTTAGTGTTTAAACTATTTGGCAATCTATATTTTTTACTAGTACTTATTAGATTTCAACTTGAATTGAGATATTATTTGTTTAGACTTGTCATTTGACGAGTCAAACAGTCATTATAAAATGTTTAGTGCTAATTATTAATTTACTTATCTTTTGTTAGTACAGATCTGCCTGCGAATTTTTTTATTGAAATATTTCTTTCTTTCTCTTATTATTTCATTATTTTTTAGATTAGAATAACATTCATTTTTCTTTATAATAACAAAGCTTACTATTTATAATATTCAATTATATAACAGTATGTTAAATTGTATATAGAATTAGAGGTTTTATATAATTTTATAAAATGCAATAATGACGCACATACGCATGCACACATGACATGTATTTGTTTTATATGTATATATAATTATAAAATTTGTATGTTTGGTATATTTAAATAAATAAATATAAATAGATACAAATGATTCGTATATTTCTTTGGTATAAATAAAAAATATCATTTACTATGTTTAACATTATCTTTATACAGTTAGCGAAACAAAACTAAAAAATTCTAAAATTTTTTCAACTGTATATAAGAGTCCAATTTGTTGAATGATTATAAGCTAATAAAATAGGGCTGTGTAATAACAAAGATAAATTATTTTGGTCGACAGATGCTGATACTATTAACCATTGCTCAAGCCAGCTTCTCATACTTTCTATAGACATATTTGCAGGATTTACGCCTCTAAAGGATAATGCCTGAAAAATAAATTCATAATAAAATAACGCTAATACATCTTTTGTATACTTCCTATTTAAACAAAATATACTAAATTGTAAATTGTAATTAGAAAATTGTAGATTGTAATTAGAAAATTAGTACTATGTATATATATGTGCGTGTGCGCGCGCGCGCGCGTGTGTGCTGTGTGTGTAAAATATACATATATGTACGTATGTAAAAATTTATAATTGCAATTATAATTTACATATGGTTTTTTCAAAATAAAAAACATTAATTATAGAATAATGAAGATCATCATGAACAAATCATCTTTTATGTATAAGTTACAATAAATAAATAAAAATAAATAAGAGAATAAATTCTTTCATATAAAAAAATAGATTTTTTTTATATTTTGAAAGCATCAAAGTAATAAAAATATTTACCCATCGCATCGCTTCGTTAGACATTTCTTTTATTCCTCCCTCTCGTATGATAGCACGATCCATTCGCAATATTAACATACCCCTTTCCGTCAATCTTTTCCTCTTGAAAGGTCTCCATAGCGACATACCATGTATTGCCAACAATTCTTTCTGGAAGATGTATACATTTATCTATATTATGACAAGCTTTTATAGAGAATAAATTCATATTCAGAAGTAACAAGTGCAATTTATGGACTAACCAAGTGTTTCCTTTTGAGATTATTGAGAGAATATGGTGGGCCTGAAAAAAGCTTGGAACAAGCTATGATATGCTTAGTGGTTGGATGTGTACCACTTCCTAAGCAAGCTATAATGTCTCGCCATTTTATCCTGAGTGTTTCATCCTTGATGCTCTTGAGCTCCGCCTGCATGCATCTGAACAATGGTCTGTTATGCTTCAACCTGGCCTTGTGATCAGACAGCATGAATTCTAGCTTCTGTTGCAGCGTCCAGTAATGCGACGTCAATAAGTAACGTGGAAAATACAGGGCTAGAGGAAAAATAATGTAATTCGTAAATGGTGCAGCCGACAGCAAGAACAACGGCAAGAGCTTTCGCAGATCCCTCGGCATTGTGTGCATCAGCTGCAGCTGCTCCCGTGTTAAACTATTTACGCCATGTGATTTCTGTTTCTTTATCGCAATGACAAAACTTTTTAGGTTTGTATACACATCTCTGGTGCCGACACTGAACACACGATACATTTGCATCGTACGCGGGAACTTACGTTCCAGTGTATGTTCATAGTTCTTGATGTAATTTATGTACTTGCCGAACCAGTACCATTTGAGATTGGCTACTTTCCTGGATTTTTCCGATTCTTTGCCCATTTTCACAAGACCTCGTTGTATTGGGCTACGTTTTAAGGGCTCCAATGTGTTCATGCCCTCGCGCACAAATATTCTTGATATCATTTTGTACATTTTAAGATTGATCCTTTTTCAGGAAAGCGAATAGATTTCCACGGACTCGGTAACCTGGAAAAATCTTTTTATTTGATCCACTTCTGAAGCTTCTTAATTACAGAAAAAATATTGAAATATATCCTTTATATTATTAAACCTAGGTTTATCACAATCCATTAGAATTGTATGATCACAATACGTACTTAGGTAATTATATCCCTTCTAGCTGGAAATCCTAGTATTGTATTTTTCGCGATTGTATTCCCACTATATGTTGTTTCTTTAAATTACTTTTATTGGATGCTGACATTGCGCAGAAAATGATGTTTTATATTTATATTTGCAGCTGAATGTATGATACATTTCGATATCAATTCACGATCGAGCGGAGCGTTAGCAGACTTATTTACACTTATTTGTTGTTCATTTACACCTCATTTGCAGTACAGATAATGTACATATATATATATATAT